TCTCTCTCTCTCTCTCTCTCTCTCTCTCTCTCTCTCTCTCTCTCCTTATGGATCAGGATGTAGCTTTCAGCTACAAGTCCAGTACCAACTTGCATCCTGTCATGCTTCCTGACATGATGATAATGGACTAAACTTCTGATACTGTATGCAAGCCCCAAATTTAAATGCTTTCTCTTGCAATAGTTACCTTGGTCATGGAGTCTCTTCAAAGCAATAGAGCAGTGACTAAGACAGACACTGTGGCTACTGAGTTACCTGTTGGTAAGAGGTCCTACAAATGGGTTGACCAGAAGTTGCATCAAAGCCTTCGAAGCAAATAGAACCCCAACCCGGACGTTTTCTTCTTCCAAGAACTCTATCCCTTGCAAGCAGTTGTTTTTAGGTACTGAGACAGCTTCAGTGACTGGAGGAGGGATGGTGCCATTTGTCCATGCTACATGGAAGGGTACATGCTCTTCTGCAGTCATGGTGGTGTTGTCAAAGAAGGAGAATATGGTAGAGAAGGCAGGAGAGGTGAGAGCTTGCTGGGAGCTTACAGAAGGACCTCTATGCAAAGAAGAGTTGACGTCTTTGAACTCTGTCGCATACAGGAAGGTGGGCACAATGGGCACTAAAAATCAATGAGGATACGTGAGAAAACTCAAGGACAGAGATCCTGTCACCACTACTAAGTTCAAAGGCATTACTATGAGGTCCAGTTTGATGCAGAAAGAAGACTCCTAAGTGACATCATTTATAGCCTACTCAAGATCATGCCTGTTCAAATCATCCTATTAGCTAAAGGACCAAATTCTAGTCATCATATAGCTAGTCTTCGTGAATTTGTGACATCCTTACCAGTTAATTCACCTACTTGTAAAGAATCAGGTATAACCGAAGAATCAATGCTTGATGATGATCTATAATGATTTTTCACAGATGGGTACACAATGAGAAAAAATATTCATCCAATACACATATTCTAGTTGAAGCAGAACAAGGCTCATGCTGCCTCTTGGAATCAGCTCCCAGATGACCAGAGGGTTGAAAAGGCTAAGGACCCGGGCAGTGTACTGTGAGAAGCTCAGGCTCTGAGGCAGTTCACAGGTAGTGAATTCCAGCCCCAGCACTTGCTAGTGGGCTTCTTGGAAATGACATTTAACATCTTTAAGCCTCTTGTAAGAGACAGAACCTACCAGAACCCATTGATGTCAAGATTTAATAATTTCTGTGGTGGAGTGAAGAGTGTGTATACGTATTTCCCTTTGATACAAAGATTTATTTGCTATTCCAGTGTTTGTGAGAATATAATAATAGAATTATAATTTTATTGTAGGATTATAAATTATAGAGCCACAAGAAATGAGTATTGGCTATATTGGACTATCTACTTCTCACAAGAAGACACTTCTTTAAAGCATGCATTTCACCCAGGAGAGACAACATTCGAGTACGTAGTCATATACTTCTGTAATGTCATGTAAAAGTTAATGAAGGGTCAGCCAGAAAATGCAGAAGTGTGAGGTAATGAACTGCAGAAAGGCTGGGCTTGGTAAGGACTTGTACGTCCTACATTTGCAAAGGACAGTCTGGAAAAGCATCACAGGAAAACAGTGCTCACTGCCCCAGGTGTCTCCAGAGTCACCAGCAACCATGGGAAGACATAATAGTGAAGAAGTGACATTCTGGCTTGGGCCTTCTTTTCCTGCCAGGCACCTCTGAACCTGTTTTTGTTTGGACCTCTGGGGTCATTAGTCTTAAGCTTGACAGCCTTCAGGCCCTGCTGCCTACAGCTCCCTCCAACTCTCAACAACCTCCACAACTTTTCCATATGAAAAAACTGAACAAGTCAGCTCAATGATGAAATTAAGCAGGGTACATGCTGCCTGCTGTGACCCAAAGCAGATACACCCTCAGCACAGAAAGCCCCAGACGTACCCACCACAGTGAGCAGCATGTTGTCCAGGAGCAGAGCCACAAACACCACCACCAGCACCAGCTGCCGGGACTTCCTCGCTTCCTTCAGCAACTGCTGAGGAGCACCCAGAACAACCTGGAACATGGCAAGGCTGCAGGAGTGGGCTGGGGAGGGAGTGGGAGAGTGGGGGCCTTCTCCTCCAGGTGCTTAGGAAGGTCCCTTGACAGCTGTGGGTCTTCTGTCGCCTTTATAGAAGAAGACGAAGTCTGCCTGGTCCAGTAAAGCTCACTGTTCAAATCAAAAGTGTGAACAAGAGAGTTTGAGTTTTTCATGCCTGTCTGCTCATTTCTTATATAATCTCAATAAATCCACATCTCCCACAACACCTTGCAGAAAACTTTGCTTATCAGAGGTTTATGTCTGAAATTACACCCACTGCATTAAACAGCCTCCCCAGATGACCAGCCTCCTTGTTTCTCAACTGACAGACATCAGCCTCTCATCTGAATGGTGTAGGCATCACCTGAGCTGCTACAGCCTGTTTTCTTCTCATTTTTAAACAGGTTTAATCTGAAATACTGCACACCTGTAATCCCAGCCCCTTGGAGGTGAAGCCAGGAGGACCATAAGACTGAGGCCAGCCTGGACTACATAGAGATCCAGGTCACAGCTACACAGCAAGACCTGGCCTTAAAAATAATGTAAATACAAATAAAAGCAACTTTGTGACTATGCAAAAAAAAAGTCTTATGTTTATCACCCCTCAAAAAATTATAGCATATGTAGCATACAAAAGTATGTGTCAAAAAAAAAAGGGGAGGGGGAAGTATGTGTCACCCAGGCTGTCTGTCCACTGAGAAGCATTAACCAGAAACAAAACAGTTTAAAAAAAGGAAAGACTCAGGAGCTGGAGAGATTTGTCCTGGTCACACGATTGGCGTCAAATGGAGATAAAAGCCCAAGCTTCTTAGCTGGTATTCTTGCACTCTACCTTTTCCTGCAGATATACGTTAGAAGTACTTGGATTTTTGTATTTAAGCTACAGGGCCCTGTTTAGAAAGGCATGTTGCTGTGTAAATAAGGCACTAACTTTCATGACGAGTTTCCTAAGTGGACTTCTCTATCAGTAGCTTCCTATTTAGGAACCTGTGTCATATGTTACCATTAAGTCCCAGTTCCTTGTCTAACCTCAGGGAATTGAAATTTCTAAGAGGATTTTATTAGCTTTTTATGAGGTTTCTGTTAGAGTGCCAACAATACCAACAACGCCACACTTAAAAATGGACTACTGTCATAAAATGTATGATACGGATATGACGTTACATTCATAGCTTGATATTTGTATGTTAAAAAAGGTGTGCTTATTTTTTTAAAAGACTAGAAAGATGTACATTCAGGTGCTGGTTACTTATAATCAGTGATTTTACTCTTTTCCTCATTTATCATTTTAAAATATTCTATAGTGAACCAGTTTCATAGAACAAGTAGTAAATAATTTTGAATGTTTATCTCTGGGATTAAACATTAGCCTCAAATGGTAGAAGTGCTCCAGGTACTAGGTTACTGTCCTCTAAGTCCCGGGCTAGAAGAATATACTCCACACTGCAGTTCCAGGAGCAAGCTCCCAAGTGAAACAAATTCCCAGATAACTTTGAACCAGGAACCACATACAGTGACCTGGGAGCCTTCAATTCCTTGTATAATAAGAAATTTTGAGCTACAAACTTACTTAAGACACCTAAGAATGAAAATAAGGAAAGACTAAAAGAAAGCAACAGAAATGACGTTGCCAAAGAGAGTAAAATATGTAGGGAGAGATGAAACACACAACAAAATAACAACAAAAACAAAACAAGGAATCTGTTAATCCACCAGTAGTAAACTTCACAGTCAAAAATCCTCTAATAAGAAACAGAAATTTTAAGGAAGAGTTAAACTTGTCCAAAAAGGAAAAAAAAAATCTTACCTTACAGTTCATCTTGATGTGAGGCACTCAGAGAAAAATTGGCAGCTGTTGGCAAGAAAGCCGAGACTGCTCTCTCCGAGTAGATGTGCTGATGGATTTATTGCTGTCTGTTATCTGAGGAGACTCGTGTGTGTGTGTGTGTGTGTGTGTGTGTGTGTGTGTGTGTGTGTGTGTGTGTGTGTGTGTGTGTGTTGCGCGCTGTGTCCACAAAGACTTAATTGGAACCTCCAACAGGTTTCATTGAGCCCCTTAGCTCCCTGCATCAAAGGCAGGCAGGGCTGGGGCCAGAGAGGACCAGGATGGAGGGGGTGGATGGAGGCTCTGGGCTGTGCTGGTTTTCATCTGTGCTTATCTGTCATACCGCTCACTTAACTCCTGCCTGGATCTGAATGCAAACTGGAATGCAAGATGGAACCAGGGTGCACCTCCTGTCCTTTGCCACTTAAAGATGCCTCCTGTGCTCCAATTCTTTCCTTACAAGTAATAAATCTTGAAACATTTATGTGAAAACAGATTATGTGCCTACTGTTCTTTAGACATAAAATCTAACATCTGGAGCTGGGGAAATGACTCAGTCAAAGGTTTACCACGCATGTAGGAAGACCTGAGTCTGATTCCCAGCCCACATTTGCTATTAGACAGCTCTGGACGTCTGAAGTCCACACAGCTGTGCCTGAGTTAAAATGAAGGTATCCTCGTGGCTTTGTTCCTTCTGGAGGCTCTGGGGACAACCCAATCTTTCAGCTCCTAGAGGCCACCTACAGTTCTCGGCTTCTAGCTTTCACCTTCAAAACCAGAAGCACTTGCCTAACTCTCTCCCTCCTTCACTAACAAGAATGCTCGTGGTTACACTGAGCATGCCCAAATATTTCAAGATTGGCTTCCTGTGCCCCGACCTTAACATAATCATACCTGCAACACCTGTACCTTTGAGCACACAGAGAAAGAGTCACAGGTTCATGACTAGGATCTGAGCACCTCTCAGTGCCATTGCCCTGTCATCACAGAGAACAGACTCCCCCCAAAAGGGTATATGAAAATGACAATTTGGGGAACTGAGGGCTTAGGCGGACAGGTGTGACTGAAAGACGGTCATACTTTACATTAACAGAAATATAGTAACAATGACAACTGCTGTTAAATGCCTACTCCATTTTCAGCATATTGCTAATATGTAGCCATATGTCATATGTAATATATATTATATTGAAAACACGCATATACGTTTTTCAGCTGTGCAGTGCTTATGTTCATAAACAGGACAAGTAAGTCTTCACAGATACCGATGAGCACAGGAATGAGTGCTCATCTTCCTCTGGTTCATTTTTTCATTTATGGATATTGGGGGTGCAGGTACATGTGTACCATGACACATGTGTCAGCAGATAACCCTGGATGTCATTTTTTACCTTCTACTTTGTTGAGACCTTTTTTTGTCTGTCACTGCACTCACCAGGCTGGCTGGTCAACAAGAAGGTCCAGTGAACCCAACTCAAGTCATCAGGCTTGGCAACAAGTGCCCTTACCACTGAGCCGTATAATGTGCTCTAAAATATAAATGTGTGTGCACATTTTCAGGCATGCTCACACTTTTCAAGAGCTGAAAGCAACCCTGATGCCCCCTGATGGACGAATGGATAAGCAAATGTGATAAATACTCACAATGAGATCTTATCCAGTGTGGATTGATCTTGAGGGTATTGTGCTAAAAGTATGTCATTCACCACAGGTAAAGCTCTCTTAGATTTCTTCTATATGAGGTTCCTAGAATAGTGGAATCATAGAAACAGAAACTGCAGTTTGCTAGAGTCTGGGAGAAGGGGGAATGGGAAGTGGTTCTTCAGTGAGTACAGGGTTTTGCTTTCACAAGATGAAAAGCTTCTACAGATTGGCTGAACCAATGTCAGTACACTTAATACTGAACTGTACATTTAAAAATGGTTAAGATGATAGGTCTTAGGTCTCTTTTGAAATAACTAAACTTTTTCAAAAAGTGTATGTACATTGTGGTTATATATACTATATATTTGAATATAGGTAATATATATTGAGAAATATATACACATATTTTTTAAACCAAGCACAATGGCTCACATCTATAATCCCAGCACTCTGGAAGCTAAGGTAAGAGATCTCCATAAGTTCAAAGCTGGACTACACAATGAGTTCTAAGATAACCTATGCTACAGAGCGAGCCCATGTCTAAGAAAACAAACAAGACGGAAACTACATATTCTAGCAAGTCTCGAACTCACAATCCCTCTGCCTTGTCCTCTCAAGTACATGATTGTGTATCTTAACTCTACATATATTCCACATAATAGTGGAAAAATCAAAACTAAAGAGTAACTAGTAAAAAGCAATAGTGCCATCTAGACACAGCTATGCCAATGGCCTCTAAATCCTTGTAAAGTCCTCGATTTCTGGTCAGACCAAAGTGGAAGTGTGAGGCTCTCCACCCGTGGTTCTGTTCTTTCCAGTTTAAGTGGCTGGCAGTTGGGACCTTCAGACAGACAGCTTTTTCTCTACATAACATAAAACGATGACTGGATCTGAGGTTTACATGGCCTACCACAAGGGGCGTGGATCCTATGACTCGGATCTGGGGGATATTTTTGTTTCTCATTTCTTCCTGTTTCCCTTAGTTGTTTAAATATTTAACAATCACTTCATAATTCCTCATATTTAGCAGATGTCAGGGTTGCAGGCCCAGACTTCAGAGGCTTGGTTCCCAAATCAGAAGTTACGTTCAGGCTTCTGAAAAAACAACAACAAAACAAAAAACAGGGATATTTAGGGGGGAGGGACTGTAGCTTTCTATGGGCATGAAGGTCCTATGGAATAGGGATGTGCCCAAAGGGTAAGGACTCACTGTTGTAAACAAAAATAAGTGCTGGGTTTAGACCCAGGGGAACAAGGCACTTTAAAATGCCAAAAATCAAAGCCAGCATGCTAGTCAAGCTTCCTTCCCTGAGCCAAGTCCCTTCAACTCAGTCTGGATATCCTTCAGCTGTGGCAGAAGCATGCAGGTGTCTCAGAAGAGTGGAGAACCCGAAGCAGGGTTCTCTGGTAGGATTTGAATTTGAGGGCTGTCCTGGCTGTTGTTTCTCACCATGACCTCGGTCATGACCTTTACTGTAGACCTAAGTCTCATGCTCACACTCCTACCCACTTCTGCTTTCTGTTTGCTGTCAAGCGCCCTTCATCTCTTTTGCTCAGTGAGGAGCTTCCCGTCCTTCCATGGGCTCCCTGCTTCCCAGCATGCCATTTGAAAGAGCCTCTTTTACTTCAATCGCTAGATGTCTTTTTAAATTAAATTTTGAATTTGTGCGTGCATTTGTGCACATGGAAAAATGATCTATGCACTATGACTCAGTCTGAAGGTCAGAAAAGTGCACTGGATCCCCGGGACTGTAGTTACAGGTAACTATTCCTTTAAGGCAGGGTCTCCTCCAAGTTGGGTGTCTTAGTTGGGTTTTTTATTGCTGTGATGAAACACCATGACTACAATGCAAGTTGGGGAAGAAAGGGTTTATTTGGCTTACACTTCTATATTCATTGAAGGAAGTCAGGACAGGAACTCAAATAGAGCAGGAACCTGGAGGCAGGAGCTGCTTACTGGCTTGTCATGGCTTGCTCAGTCTGCTTTCTTATGGAACCCAGGACCACCAGCCCAGGGCTGGCACCACCCACAATGGGCTGGACTCTTCCCCATCAATCACTAATTAAGAAAATGCCCTACAGGTTTGCCACAGGTAGATCTTAAAGGAAACATTTTCTTAATTGATATCCCTCCTTTCAGATTACTTTATCTTGGGTCATGTTAACATAACCAGACACTGAGGTTTGGTGTATGCATGGGATGCCTGCATTATTACATGGGCCATAGCATCTGAACTCTGGTTCCCATGTTTGCAAAATGTCTTCACCTCTGAGACATCTCTTCAGGTCCCAAGTCCTAGAATTCTCAATGCCTCCAACTGTTCAGATTGTCGGAGCATAGTCCACCATGGCAGGATTGTATGGTAGAGGAGGTTTGTCTGCTTTATGGCAGCTGAAAAAGCTAGCATCCATATACTCTTTGAGGGCGTTCCCCCAAGGACCTAACTTCCCTCTCCTGGACCCTCCCTCTGATACTTCCCCTACCTCCCCTTAGTGTCACAGACTGGCCTCCAGGTTTTTGTCACAGAAGCTTTTGAGGAACATTTGCATAACAATAACTATATGTTCCTGTTTCTATTAATATTACTGATTTTAAATCATTGACTCTCCAGGCTTCACAGAAGCTGGGCTGAAGTACTGAAGGCCCTGAAGGGGACTCATGCATTCCCAGAGCCTTTGCTTAAGAATGAGAGTGACATTATTAATTTAGCTGAAGTATCCAGGTATTCAAGATACTGCCTAATTGGAGTGCAAAAGATGTTAAGGGACTTCTCAGACTATTTTAAAATTAAATTTGCCTAAACTCTAAGTGATTTTGTAGATTTCCATAATAAATGTGGCAAACATTTCTCTTATGGGATGTAAATAATCAAACTCTGTTGCACTGTAGAGTAATATTATAAAGCACTTAACTAATCAGATTGTGAAGTTGCTCAAAATTCCTACCATGTAATTTTTGCATAGAGAGAGGCTGCCTCATGCTGAGCAATTAACGGGTTTTATTAGCTATAAATTTATAAATTCGTTGTTGCTGGCTGGCCTTATGCCCCGGTGCTTGGGGAGAATTCGATCTTGCTTTTTGACCTGATCTTGCACAGTCCCATGCCAAGAAGGTGTGGGCATGCTGCAGCAGGGGTAGTGGCCCAGCCTCTGAGAGGGAGGCACTGAGAGCTTTCCGTAAACGTGGGTAACTAGGAGGGCTCTGGAATTTTCCAGCCCTCTTGTAATGTCTGGGCATTCTGTAAACTCATGCTCCTTTCTGTTCTCAGATCGGGTTTGTAGGTAAAGCAGTATGGCTTGCTGATAAGCAGGGCTCTGGGACCACACAACTTGTGTTAAAAATTTGGCTTTGCCATTCACTGTACCCTGGACTTGTCCCCTTGCCTGGATTTCTTCCCCTGTAGAAAGTGTGATACGAGACACAAGTCCATGGTTGGTTGTAAGAAAAGGAAAGCTTAGGCTAGTTAATACTGAGTAGGTACTCAATAAGTGGTAGCCTTTGATGTGGGAATCCTGCAAATTCACATCCATTTGAGCAAGGCAGTTCTTAATAAATGCTTATATCTTAATAAATATTTAAATTAAGTTAAATAAATATTTTTATTCATTTAGAAAAAAAAAAGAATGAGAGTGAAGAAACATCACCTTCCATGTAGACTTCCAGTCTGAAACCCACATATGCTGGGCTGTGTAGGCAGAATTCTACCTCTAACAGGTGAACTCTCAACCCCAGTATTGGCTCCTTATGAAATCTGATCCTCATACCATTAGACTAGAGAACTGCTGGAAATAGTTGGGACTTTGCTGGAGCAGGAAACGCAGGGTCATTTAAGGACAATGCACATGTATTCCCTAAACTCAGTTCTCATCAAACTCATTCCTGGTAAGTACACTGTCTTTGTTGGGGGTTTCATTGCTGTGAAAAGATACCATAACTATGCCAACTCTAATAAGGAAAACATTTAGTTGAGGGGGCTTGCTTACAGTTTCAGAGATTCAGTCTATTATATCATCATGGCAGGGAGCATAGTGTCGTGCAGGCAGATGTGGTGCTGGAGGAGTAGCTGAGAGTCCTACATCTTGCAAGTGACAGGAAGTCAACTGGGACACTGGGTGGTACCCTGAGCATAGGATACCTCAAAGCCTGCCCCCACAGTAACACACTTCCTCCAACAAAGCCATACCCACTTCAACAAAGTCACACCTCCTAAGAGTTGTTGTAATTTAAAAGCAGCAAGAAGGAATCATTCCATACAACAGGGCAAGGAAGAGGGCAGAGAAGAGGACAGAGAAAGGGGCAGAGACTGGTCCCTAGGGAAGAGAGTGAAGGAAGAGAAAAAGAAAGAGATGGGAGGTGACCAAGGCCCGCCTTTTATAAGGAAACGTAGCAAATGTGCACAGGGGATGCTCTTAGTGACTGCAGCTGACGATATATCCTGTCAGGACCCTAAGGGCAGGCCAGTACAGATGCCTAAATGCTAACAATAGTGACACTCCCTATTAGATTATGGGGGCCAATTACATTCAAACTACCACATACACATTTCAGTCCTTACTTGGAAAGGGGGGGGCAGTCCCTTTAACCATCAGTTTGAGTCCTAATTATGCCATTGAGAACTGTGGGACTATGGGCAGCTGTTTTATTTCTCTATGCCACTGACTGATAACTTGTAGAGATTTTGTGGAAGGTCAATGAGTTAGCAGCAAGCATTTAGCAGGCCATGGTGATGCACACTTTTATGGAGGTAGATGCAGGATGATCTCTGATTTCCAGGGAAGCCTGGTCTACATTATGAGTTCTAGGCCAGCCAGGGCTATATAGTGAGACCCTATCTCTAACAACAACAAACACTTACAAGAGTGTCTGTGTCACAGGCCTCCAGATCTTACCACAACTGACACCATGACGGAAGTACTACTCAGGCCTTGGAACCCAGCATGTAAGCAACAACACCACCCAAAACGAGAACAAAGACCATCATCAGCATCCATAATTCTGGGAAAGCCCCTAAATGTACTAACCTTGCTTGTGGCTTCTGTAGATCTGCTTCTGGCTGTTTTTGCTAACTCTTGTGTGTCACCCCGGGATGTGGATTTTGCACTTAAAAGCATATCCTGAGAAAGGATCAGGGCAGCCCTCAGGTCCTGAGCACCCAGTGTAGTAGATGGCAGGCTAATAAATACTTTCTATTGGCTCGAATCCATGTCTGATTGGTCTTCTCTGGTAGATACCTCCCAACATCTGGGACATAGTAGGCATACAGTACTATGATATAAGAACTTAAATATCAAAAAAACCTGAAGACATGGATTCTGCTCTGCAGAGCCCCTCTACTTGTGGGGAGAATTTCCAAACATTAAGTTCCCTAAGTGAATTTCCCTTTGAAGTACACCATCTATCCTGACCACTTCAGAGCTGTTACTTCTTCCTCACCACAAAAATTTACAGATTGCTCAAGACTTAGATGAAACACCCAGCACTCTGTAGATGTAACCAACCATCTTATTAAATAAGAAACACAGAAACAATGTAAAAGAGAAAGCCAAGAGGTCAGAGCTCAGAGCTAAAATCTCACCCTTCCTCCTGCTGTCCCAGCTTCCTGAAAGAGAGCTATTTCCTGTCTCTAAGTCGCTTTTCCAGTAATTCTGCCTTCTCATTGGTTGTAAACACAAACACGTGACTGCCTCATCACTGTCTGAATATACAGCCCCCTAGGTCTTAAAGGCATATGTTTCCAATGTTGGCTGTATCCCTGAACACACAGATATCTATGGGATTAAAGGTGTGTGCCACCACCGCCACACTCTTGCTATGGCTCTAATAGCTCTGACCCCCGGGCAACTTTATTTATTAACATACAATCAAAATCACATTTCAGTACAATTAGATTACCACCACAGCACTCTTCTTCCCATCTATTTCTTCTCTAAATTCTTTTTGTCTTGTTTTGTTTTTAGTGCTGGAAATAGAATCTGGGATCTTTTACCTGCTAAGTGAGTGATCTCACCAAGACCTAGCCCCTCTTCTCTAAATTCTAACTGAAAGGCCTACCTCCTCTCTCTTCCTGGCCTTAATCAACCCTAGGTGACTTTTTTAAAACCAGGTACACAGTCTAGCATTTCATTTTACAATGTTTTATATGTCATCTGTGTGGGATCATATGTGTTGATCTTGTCTCCACTGCTTAGCCCTGTGTTCCTTAGAAATATTGTTCTACAATAATGCCATCTTTGCTTTAAAGATATGACATGGGCCCACAGACATAGAACTGGTTAAGAGTGAGCCTGGCCTGCTCCACCTAGCTTGGTGCAGTATATTCATGGCTCAGAATAAAAATGTGCCCTGCAGTTCTCTAGAGTTTCTCCAGGGACCACACTATGCTGAGTTCATTACTAGTGTTCACATAATAGGCACTTGCTTACAGAAGGCTTCATTTGAGTTTTGATTCTCTGATCTTTTGATTCTCTGACTGCTGTTGTCGAATAATCATTCGGTACACTGTGAAGATGT